AAGAATATTATAATAAAAAAAGAATATTATAATAAAAATTTCATCTGTGTTGAACATGTACAGATATTTTCTTGTCAATATTCTCAAGTAGAACTCTACCTAACAATTTCACTGTATTAGCAGTTATAAGTAATCTAGTATCATGAGATAATATAAGATGTACTGTACAAGAGGATCTACAAAGTTGATAAGTTTCACAGTTTAATATAAAATACTTAGAGCCGGGGATTTAGCTCAGTTGTTCTGCTGCCTGCCTCACAAGCTCAAGGACCCGAGTTCAATCCCAGTACAAAAATAAATAAATAAATACATACATATATACAATGAAATACTTAAACATCTTCAGAATTTAGTACACTGAGTTCCTGGAAACAATCCTCTGAAAATACTAATCAATGACCTTGTGTAGGAACAGTTTTAGATACTGTATTTTGACCTATGTCATATGGAATGCTAATGAATTGATAAAAGGATAAATTATCCTAATATGAAAATGTTTTCAATATTATTCCCTTCCACATATCCTTAAAATGAAATGGTATTATCTGGGTTTCATGTGCACACAGACACATGGAAGTATACACAAACACGTGCAAGCTGTTAAAATGTGGGCATTGAAATAATTCAGTATCTTGAAATGCTGGGGAAAGAACATTTAATAACTAATCTAGGGCAACTTGTGTCCATCTGTAGCTTACTACTACAAGAATTCTAGTAATGCATTCTTCATATTTATTTTTCAAATATTATTGTGAAATTGAATTATCATTTTCAAGGCACCAATTAACAAAACAGTCATTATTTTTGAGCAAAATACTTGTTTGTATCAGTTAGGCCTCACTAAAGGGACAGATTTAAGGGCCGGGATTTAGCTCAGTGGTTCCGCCACCTGCCTCGCAAGCTCAAGGTCCTGAGTTTGATCCCCAGTACCAAAGAGAGAGAGAGAGAGAGAGAGAGAGAGAGAGAGGAACAGATTTAATATAAAGTCTGAAGTTCACGGCAGAGTCAGGTGTGAGTCCATATTGGAAAGCCCAAGGGTCTGGCTGGCTTGGAAGGCTGAAGAGTCTGTGCAGCAAGCCTGGAGATGGACGTCCGAAGGTAACGGTGGAGAAGAGCTCCTTGGAAGGAAAAAAGTCAAGACTTCCTTTTTCTTTCCCTTTTTATTCCATCCAGGCTACAAGCCTCTTGGTCAGTTCCACACATACCCAGGGTGTGTCTTCCCTCTGGCAAATCTATCACCCAGACACATCTAAAGCTGTGCTAAAGAACCTGTTAGTTATTTTTTTTCAAGTTGACGCAAAAATCAACCATCATAATTTTGTAATATGTGTGGCAAATGTGTGAATTATCCTCACCAAGCATCTAGATAAATATTCTGTTATATTCTTTAAGGTAAATGCTTTTGTAAATTTTATGATAAAAATTTAATTTCATATGATTATATGTAAATAAAATACAGAATGAAATATTTAAGTATAAATTTACTTTGTTTAACTCACCAATTAGTCAAATAATTTTACTTATATTAGTTTAAGAAGCTAAAGAGTCAACTCAAAAATGTATTAACTTATAAAATGTTCGATTTTAAAGTGATTTAGATAGTTTTTATTATGTATTCATCTTTAATTCATACTAGATTATTCTTGTTTGAAATGTTTGTAAGTAATATGTTGAGCAATTCTACTATATTCATAATATTTCACTTAATTTTCCTAATAACTTTATTATATATATGTTATGCTTTAAATGATGTATTTTCTTATGCCAACAGTTTTCATATAGTGCAATGAGGGAGAAATAAAATTTCTATTTTGTATTACTCTAAAATATAAGCATATATTGCTTATATGTGTCATTCTGATCATTTAAATATTTTATATATTTAGCATATATTAAATTACATATTAAATTGAAAAATTATCTATGTAACTTAAATAAGGTTTTATGCATCTTCATATTACTCATAGATAGATGTAGGCATATTAAACAGTAATTCAAGAATAAAGAAGCAAATTATTTCAGAACTTCACTAAGATGGTCTGAGGTGATTCTGTGATCAAGAAAGGGAAAATATTGACTTTTTGGTAGGTTTTTTTCTGATTATTTTGAAAGTTTCACCCTGTTGATGTTAAAAACAAAGACTATTAAATTCATTCCACTTTAAAGGTGTCCCAATTAATATTTTAAATAGCACTATGGCTTCAAACTTTGGCACCATATTGCAAGATTTATGTCATTAGAGTTATAAGTTGAATAAATATTAGGAAACATGAAAAATGTGTGGTATCTAAAAAGAGCAAGAGCTATTTTGAATAATTACATCACCTTGTTTGTCCTTTTTCACTATGAAGAAATTGTACGTCAGTCTAGCTACTGGTTTAAAACAAATAATCATCATATAAGTAATAAATAACCTAATGTGTTTGAAAATTATTCTGTTACATTCTGAGTAATGTAGGGGAGTATCATCTGAGGGCAAAATATACACGGCACTGCAGTCATTAGCACTGAAAAATCTAAAAATATTATAATAATTTCAAATAATATAAAAAGAAATCATTTGGACTGTATTAAGATGTACTTCAAGAAACATATTCCAAGTTAATTTCTTATGTAAGAACTTGCTAACCATTCATAAAGATCATATGTATAATTCATATTAATTATGTCACCATTTAAAACTTTCCAATAAATTCCTATTGAACAATTTTTTCCCATTAAAAGACTACATGAAATCATTTGATTATGTTCTGTATAATATTTTGTATTATATATCTTTCCAACTTTATGTAAGTTATAATTATCATTCCATTGATAAAATACTGTGTCTATGTAGGGACACTAATTTATCACTGATGTTATTTTATAACAAGGTAAAGTCTGAAATGCTAGTCATACTTAAGATAACACATTACCATATTTTTGCAGGTGAAACAAGCAAATCTCTGAATTCATTTGTGTTTTAAACCTTCCCAGAAATTCTAAGATGAATATCAATTTCTCAGAAATAACCCAGGATAGTTGATTTCCAACAAGTGAACCAAAACTTTTCAGTACAAAGGCCCAAATATCAAACATCGAGGATTATTTAAAAAAAATAAAGTTTCTCTGCTTTCAGGGATATCATATGAGGAAAATTAAACTGACAAAATCAATATTAACATTTAGACAGTTGAATTTTCAATAGTAGGAAAACAGGGATTTGCATTGCTTTTTGTGATATAATACAGGTATATATTGAAAAATGAATCAGCTTGTGAAAATTTTCTCCCCCATTAGGGATTAACAATAGTAACCATGTTCAGTTGACATAAATTGCAAAATATTACATAAGAAATATATACCTATTTAGAAATAGCATTATTCATGATTTTTATATAAATAGAAACAAAGGAGAAGGATATACTACATAAATTAAACAAAACTTATTCCTAGGGTAAAAAGCCCAAATAGTAGGATAAAGAAAGGATCATCATTTGCTATAAATGTATAAATGTGTATTAATTGAAATATTTTGAACAATCATGCAATAATTTGATGATAAAATGGAAATTTAGAGAATAAAATGTTGATATTTAATGGTGACAAAAAGAAACCTGTTTTATTTACTAAAGTGTTGAGCCTTTCAAGTTGTGTTTTATTCTATTTTCATTCATTCTATATATTTCATAATCAATTTAAATAGTATATTCATTATCATGGCATTTTTGTCTTCATAGAATATCTTACTTATATTGTGATAATTATTTGTACTTTACAAGGTAAGAAACTGTGACTTACATAAAATACTTGATCCTTTCTCATGGTATAGAATCAGAATCAGAATTTGGATTAAGTAGGCCTGACCCCAGAAGCAAGTGTCTTTAATTATTCTTCTATAGTACCAAAAGAAACAACAAAAAAGGTACTTTGTATTAAAAAAATGGGTTGTCATACTTGAGTTTTCAAAAAGAAAAACAAATTTTCTTCAGAGTCCTATTTTTTAAATAAAATATCAAATATTCTTTATAAAATATTAATGTTAATATTACTTTGAAATTTATTTTCTAAAGGGGCAGGATTTTAATACTTTTATTTTGTGAGAGATAAAATTCATTACTTACCAAAGAATATGAAAACTACTTTTTGTTAAAAAATTAGAAGGTTTCTGGAAAATAATGTATTTTAACTTAATAGGTCAGACCTATCATATACTGACAAA